ACACAAACACACACTGCATCCTCCATACACACACTCTACATCCCTTACACACACACACACTATATCTATTACATACACACACATTCTTATTTTATTATTTATATAGCGCCAGCAAATTCCGAAGCGCTGTACAATGGATGGACTAACAGACACGTAATTTACTGCATCCTCTAAACACACACTGCAACTTCTATACATACATACATACCCTTACCATATCCTTACACAATTACAATTATTTATATAGTGCAAACATATTCCACAGAATTGGACAATAGGAAACAAAACAGATATTCAATTCTAACAAAACATGTATAACATACAGGAACAGTAGGTTCCCAGCCCAAACTAGCTTACAATCTACACACTGCATCCACTACACACATACTGCATTGCTTACAAATAAACACACTGCATTTACTATACAAACTGCATCCCTTACACACACACACACTGCATCCCCTATACATACACACACTGCATCCACTACACACCAGTGGCGTCGCTGGGGGGGGGGCAGAGGGGGCCATGGCCACCCCTACATCATGCTGTGCCCCCCCCCTACATCATGCTGTGCCCCCCCTTGGGCCCCCACCAAATGCCGGCAACTTGCTGGCAATGTGCTTCAATTATATTCCCTCGGACTGTAACAGTCTGTGACAGCCCAAGGGAATGCAGGGCAGAGCAGCTAGAATGCTGCTGGGGCTGGAGGGAGCACTGACAGGCTCCCCGGCACAGGCCCCGCCTCCCACACATAAGCCCCGCCCCTTACATAAGCCCCACCCCTGCCGTAAAGCAGCAGACCATGCTGCTGCAGAAGATGGCTGTCTCACCCCCAGCAACAGCCTCCAGTGACAGGTAGGCTTGGTGTGTGTGTGTGTGTGTGTGTGTATGGACTCAGTAGTCTGTGTGTGTGTGTATGGACTCAGCAGTCTGTGTGTGTGTGTGTGTGTGTGTGTGTGTGTATGGATTCAGCAGTCTGTATGTGTATGGACTCAGCAGTCTGTGTCTGTGTTTGTATGGACTCAGCAGTCTGTGTGTGTATGTGTATGGACTCAGCAGTCTGTGTATGTGTGTGTGTGTATGGACACAGCAGTCTGTGCGTGTGTATGGACTCAGCATTCTGTGTGTGTGTGTATGGATTCAGCAGTCTGTGTGTGTGTGTATGGACTCAGGAGTCTGTGTGTGTGTGTGCGTGTGTGTGTATGGACTCAGCAGTCTGTGTGTGTGTGTATGGACTCAGCAGTCTGTGTGTGTATGGATTCAGCAGTCTGTGTGTGTGTGTGTGTGTGTGTATGGACTCAGCAGTCTGTGTGTGTGTATGGACTCGGCAGTCTGTGTATCTGTGTGTGTGTATGGACATAGCAGTCTGTGTGTGTACGGACTCAGCAGAGTCTGTGTGTGTGTGTGTGTATGGACACAGCAGTCTGTGTGTGTGTGTATGGACTCAGCAGTCAGTGTGTGTGTGTATGGACTCAGCAGTCTGTGTGTGTGTGTGTGTATGGATTCAGCAGTCTGTATGTGTATGGACTCAGCAGTCTGTGTCTGTGTTTGTATGGACTCAGCAGTCTCTGTGTGTATGTGTATGGACTCAGCAGTCTGTGTATGTGTGTGTGTGTATGGACACAGCAGTCTGTGCGTGTGTATGGACTCAGCATTCTGTGTGTGTGTGTATGGATTCAGCAGTCTGTGTGTGTGTGTATGGACTCAGGAGTCTGTGTGTGTGTGTGCGTGTGTGTGTATGGACTCAGCAGTCTGTGTGTGTGTGTATGGACTCAGCAGTCTGTGTGTGTATGGATTCAGCAGTCTGTGTGTGTGTGTGTGTGTGTGTATGGACTCAGCAGTCTGTGTGTGTGTATGGACTCGGCAGTCTGTGTATCTGTGTGTGTGTATGGACATAGCAGTCTGTGTGTGTACGGACTCAGCAGAGTCTGTGTGTGTGTGTGTGTGTGTGTGTATGGACTCAGCAGTCTGTGTGTGTGTATGGACTCGGCAGTCTGTGTATCTGTGTGTGTGTATGGACATAGCAGTCTGTGTGTGTACGGACTCAGCAGAGTCTCTGTGTGTGTATGTATGGACTCAGCAGTCTGTGTGTGTGTGTGTATTTAATCAGCAGTCTGTGTGTGTGTGTGTATTTACTCAGCAGTCTGTGAGTGTGTATGGACTCAGCAGTCTCTGTGTGTGTGTGTATGGACTCAGCAGTCTGTGTGCGTATGGACTCAACAGTCTGTGTGTGTGTGTGTGTGTGTGTGTGTATGGACTCAGCAGTCTCTGTGTGTGTGTGTGTGTGTGTGTATTTACTCAGCAGCCTGTGAGTGTGTATGGACTCAGCAGTCTGTGTGTGTGTGTGTATGGACTCAGCAGTATGTGTGCGTATGGACTCAACAGTCTGTGTGTGTGTGTATGGACTCAGCTGTGTGTGTGTGTATGGACTCAGCAGTGTGTCTGTGTGTGTGTGTATGGACTCAGCAGTCTGTGTATGTATGTGTGTGTGTATGGACTCAGCAGTCTGTGCGTGTGTGTATGGACTCAGCAGTCTGTGTGTGTGTGTGTATTGACTCAGCAGTCTGTATGTGTGTGTGGACTCAGCAGTCTGTGTGTGTGTATGGACTCAGCAGTCTGTGTGTGTGTGTGTATGGACTCAGCAGTCTGTGTGTGTGTTTGTATGGACTCAGCAGTCTGTGTGTGTATGGACTCAGCAGTCTAACAATAATTAAAATTCCTGTGAGTTGTTGTGTAGGAAGGCCCCCAGTGCATTGCTTTGCCCGGTGGCCTTTAACTCTGTTGAAATGGTACTGATAGTGTGTGTCAGTGAGCTTCTGTTTAGTGAGCATGTGTGTGTCTCTGAACTTCTTTGTAGTGAGCCTTCTGTTTATACAAGTGAGTTTGTCTGTAGTAAGCTTGTGTGTGAGTCAGAGAGTTTTTTCTGTCAGTAAGCCTATTTGCGCATGTCAGTGAGCTTGTGTGCTTACTGTACTATATATATATATTTTGACTTGTAGGAATGGCATACATTTTTTTTTCCAGGGCTGCTTTGGATTCCCAGGGATTCCCAGTTTGGCTCTGCCAGCGAGTGCACTTTACAGCTGAATCATCTGTGTGAGCTGCCACACACTTTAGCCCTGTTACACGCGTCTGGGAGCTATTGTTGGCAGGTACTAGTAGTCTAGAGATTGGGACATGGGGTATATGCTCAGCTATCTGTATAATACAGATCTTTGTGTATATAATATCCCGGGATAGTCAGTGCTTCCTGTATAGTGCTGCTCTCTGTATAATACAGGCCTGTGCCTGTATAATATCCCTGTATAGTGCTGCTCTCTGTCTTGGGATATTACACACACAACCCTGTATTATACAGAGAGCACTTACTGTCCAGGGATATTATACCCAGACAGTAATTGATAGCTGTGCTGCAAAATGTCCTTGGAAATCTTTTTCAAATGTTGGCAACTATGGCACTGTATCAAGGGTAATGTGTTTGTTTTTTAATAATCCCTGGTGGAAAATAATGAATCCTCCAGCAGGGATTATTAAAAAAACATAACACATTGTGTCGGGGGCGGGGCTTAACATGCAACAGGGGCAGGGTCAAACTGCAGCGAGGGCGCGGTTAAATGTGCCCCCCTACTTTTGTCCCTGGCCCTGCATGTCCCCCCCACTAAAAATGAATCCTAGAGACGCCACTGCTACACACATACTGCATTGCTTACAAATAGACACACTGCATTTACTATACAAACTCCATCCCTTACACACACACTGCATCCCCTATACACACACACACTGCATCCATTATACACATACTGCGTTGCTTACAAATAGACATACTGCATTTACTATACAAACTGCATCCCTTACACACACACACACACTGCATCCCCTATACATACACATACACCATATCCCCATACATACACACACTGCATCCGCTAGACACACACAAACACTAAATCCCCTACACGCACTGCATTACCGGTACGCATACACTACATTCCCTTAACATAGACATACCTAACAAACACTAACTACATCCCCTACCACAGCTCTTAGTGTCTGCAAGATGATGGCGGAATGGGAGGTGGGCCCTGTCAGGTAGACAGACTCGTGGTAAGCCCCGTGGGCGAATTTGTGCAGGCTCCAGTAGTCAGACCTTTGGCTGTGGGGCCCCAAGCTTTCTGATGTCAGCCTTGCTAGTGATGCTCAGACAGAGTTAAACTGCTCAAAACTGGTTTAACACTGAATGGAGGGACAGTTTCAGAAGACCCTCTATAACAAATTCAATGAGATTACTTTTTTATAATGCCTACAAAAAAGAATTTGTTCCCTGTCAAGACTATGTGTTTTTGGCCCTCCAGGATAAGGGCACCAGTCAAAACGGCCCAGTAATCGAATCAAAGTCCTGCAGTTCCATTATGCAACAAAATGTTGGGTATCTTTCTGTGTGTCTCCATTATCAAGAATGTTTGTATATAAAACGTAACATAATTTCTATCTTCTCAGATATAAAATAAGAAAAGGAATATGAAGAAAGCATCAATACCCATTGTAGTTTCGTATTGATGCTTTCTTTATATTCCTTTTCTTATTTTATATCTGAGAAGATAGAAATTATGTTACGTTTTATATACAAACATTCTTGCTAAAGGAGACACACAGAAAGATACAGTGTCTATCTTTTGTGCCTCACACTGCAAGAGATTTGATCAGCATGAGTACCCTGTTTTTTTATCACTAAATTTAATGTTTTATCATTAAATGATTTTTGTGATAATTAATAAACTATGAAAGACTCTTCTTTTTTGTCCTTTATTTAGATTTATACAAGGTTATTCATTAAATTGAGAATTCAAACAAATTGCAATCTGAATGGCAAAAACCTAGCAAAAATAGCTAATCCGCAAAAAATTTCCAACTCATGTATAGTCATAGATTGGCTATTTCACCTTTAATTTTACCATTTGGATTTCAATTCACCACACTCTAGAGTGATGAATAACCTTGAATTTCACTAAACACAGCATTTTTGTAGTAATGGTGTATAATAGAGAATGTACATGCCAGTGGGGGATCCGGGGAGGGGGGGGGCAATTGCCCCAACAAACTGCACCCCTCACACACTGACCCTCCTCACACACACACACCGCCCCCACACATTGCACCCCTCACACACACACACTGCCCCCCATACACACACTGCCTCCCACACACATACTGCACCCCTCACATACACACTGCACCGCTCACATACACACACACACACTGCCCCCACACACACTACACTTCTCACACACACACTGCCCCTCCATACACACACACACTGCACCCCTCACAGATACAATGCATCCCTCACACAGACCCTACACCCCACAAAGAGAAACTGCACCCCTCACACACAGTGCACCCCTCACACAGACTCTACACCTCACAAACAGACACTGCACTCCTCACACACATTGCATCTCTCACACATACACTACACCCCATACACACACACTGAACCCCTCACACACACTACAGGCCCGATCCCCTGCTACAACCCCTATCCTGGCAGAACCCAGGTAAGTTGTCAAACTGTTCTTAAATGGTTTGACTACTTACTCAGGGACGGTGCCACGGCGCTCCTGGAACCATAACCACGACAGAGAGCTGTAGTGGTTATTGTGCCTGGATTGTCCCTGTAATAATCTCAAAGTGCCCCTCCCGAGATTCAGTTCTGGATCCGCCCCTGGTATATGCACAGTTCTCTCAGATGTTTTGACATTTTCAGGGTTATTCACTAAAGTGGGAAATCAAAGTGAATTTCAAATTTAACCCCTTAAGGACCAAACTTCTGGAATAAAAGGGCATCATGACATGTCACACATGTCATGCGTCCTTAAGGGCTTAAAGGGACAATATATTTACCAAAACAAATTTAGGTTAATAAAGCAGTTTTGGTGTATACATCATGCCCATGCAGCCTCACTGTTCAATTCTTTGCCATTTAGGTGTTAAATCACTTTGTTTATGAGACTCTAGTCACACACCCCCAGTTGTGACCCACGCATCCTGCATGAAAAAAATGGTTCCACTTTCAGTGAGATGTTAACTTCCTTTAGAAGTTTTAATCTCCTGCTCTGTAATCACACACAAGAGGCTCCTGCAAGGCTAGTAACAGAGCAGGAGATAAGACATTCTAAGTTAAACAGAATGTGCAATAAAAAAAAGTGTAAAAGTTAGATCTCACTTTACAGTGTTTAGGAAGGCTGTGCAAGTCACGTGCAGGGTGGTGTGATAAGGGCTGTATAAACCAAGTTATTTAACTCTTAAATGCCATATAATTGAATTCTTACTTTAGTGAATAACCATTCTTGTTTATTAAATTAAAGGAACACTCTATGCGTGCTGTACAGTTTATGCTGCCAAGAGTGCCTTGGCGCCCTCCCAATATAAGTACTCAAGTAAATGCTTACTAATGGTATGACTTCTTACCTGTGGTCCACCAAGTGCCGGTCAATGCCTCTATAACAGTGAAAAGCTTTTTCCTTTGAGCTGGCCCTACATATCAAGTTATAGCTAAGAAGAGGTAACGTAAGCGTTACTGAAGAGCTTCTGGATCTCTGTAGAGGTAGTGACCACAGGTAAGAAGTCAAACTTTATCTGGCCTTCATAAGATGCACTCTATTTGTTCTGCACTGAGTTTTTTATTTCTTATATATAAGCTTAACTTAAATGGTTACTCCAACCACCACAACTATTTTTGCTTTTAAAAGTGGTCGTGGTGATATGAATCTGTATGGGCAACATTTCTGCTTGAAACGCTGCACATACAGAGATATTTTTAGCTTTGTGTTCGGGACTAGTTACACCCTCCGGCACCCATGACTTCAGTCAGTAACCCTTTTTTTGCGCTGCTTAATGTTAAGTCTGTGTGACAAAATGAGAGTGTTGTCCCCCACACTCTCTCCTTCCCTGACTCAGAGCACGTACATGCGCTCTGAGCCGGTAAAATTATCCAAATAAATGTTTCTCTATGAGAAGCTTTTGATTGGACCTTGTGAGGAAGGGAGGGATGTCAGGCAGGACATGGAAGACCAACGCAAGGAGCTTTGATTCCAGGTAAGTTCTATATTATTTAGAATATGTTTTTACTGCAAATTGGGGGGCACCTACAAAATAACAGCCAAATAGTTCATTTCAAATGAAATAACAAAAAGGGGTTAGAGTAACCATATAAGATGTAACACTGGTTTTTATTTAATTCATAAATCAATGGTTGTGATTCCGGTCATTTAATGCTGGATTCCTACTCTCAAAATTCCCTGAAGTGTAATTATGACTATCTTGTGTGTCCCCCGACATTGTGTATCATCATTTTATGGCATCAGTCGGGAGTCAGAGATGACTTTTTAACTTTCATGCTCTCAAGCTTCATACTTTATCTCTTTTCGTCAAGGAGGACATCAACTTTCCGAATTCAGTAGGATAGAAGTTAATGAACCATGACAAGCTCAGCTGTCTTTGATGGCCCTAAACCATCTGGTAACCTTATTATAGAACAGCCATCTCCTTTTCTTCTTTGACTCTATTATTTCTCTAGTTTTCTTTTTCTTTTTTATTATTTATATTTCTGTCTTTAAATTATCCTGGCTGTTTCCCACCTCAATCATGTTTGCCAGCAAGCAGCCCTGTGTGTTTTTGAAAACAAAATATTGGCAAACTGTATGGATTAACAATCATGTGTGCCAAAAAAAGCTTAAGGACAGTGAATTTTGTTGACTGTAAAGTTAAGTATAAGAACATTTCTTCATTGACAAAGCTCAGTTTTCTTGCCAAAATACAAGAACTTAGTAGCATAGTCCAAAATCTGATAAAACTGTTACTAAACCGCACAATGTATAGACTGTAAAACAACACCTGGGGAACTGCGTTGCACGCCTTTTAAGTTAAAAGAAATGCGTATACATAGGACTTTTGTTTCATTAATAAAAAAATAAAAAAATAGGATCCCTGCCAAACAGTATGGATTATTGGCTACAAGTGCATTGATGTAAAATACATGATGAAAGAAATCCTTACATATTCTAAAATGACTTAAACATAATCTAAGAATGTGCAGATGTAAGAGATACAAAAGGTTATTCAAAAAAATGTACTCTATGTATGTTTTTTTAGTTCTGTGGACTCTCCCCCTTTACGTTTGAAATTGTAAAATGGTCATTCTCTGAATGTAACAGCTGTCTTGTATCTTAGGAAAAAATATTAAGAACACAGAGCAAAAGAACAGCTCATCAAAAGGACGGACAATTCTTTGGGGTTTTTCATATTTATACACACACAATAATGGTGTCTTCCTGTCAGAACATATGTCGGGCATTGCATGCTACAGCTGGCTGCAAGCATGTTTCAAAACCACTTTTATTATGCACAGGAAACCCTTGGATGGGGATTTAAGCTAGTCAAGTAACATATGTTTCATGTATTCCTTTTTTTTTTTTTTTTACTTCATGTCTGTCATTTTTCACAAATGTTGGCTCAAGAAAATATTTTATTTAGTTTGCCTATTTTGAAGTTAATGCTGTTTGTTCCAATAAAAACTTAAACCGGAATTGTGTGAGCCATTGATTAAATATTCAATCTAGCACCAGACAACTAATAGCTTGTATTTGCTTGTAGAATCTGTACAATGATCGGTATGATTGGTGGAAATGTAACAAGCTAAGAAAATGCAAACATTAGTGAGATGATCTAAGAGCATTTTGAAATGAAAACTCTTATGTGGTGAACTATATACATTTCCTGCTTGTTTTATCAATTATAATTATGTTTTCTTTGTCTGGGAATATTCCTAGTTGCTACCGAAATACATGCAAATGCAGCTTGAACAATTCATTTCTGAAAATAAGTGATTCTCCATCATCAGATTCACTGTTTATTCATTGAAATGTAACATCTTTAAAATAAATGGCAAGATAGACCATTTTTCCAAACTCTGGAAAATGGCATCTCCTGGATGATGACTAAGTTCTAAATTGTAATTAAAAGTATAGAGATTATTCAGTAACAAACTTGTTTGTTGAACCCTCATCACCTAAACAATGAGTAACAATATTTACAGAGAGAACATTAAAGGGACATTGCTTGATAAAATGCCTTATTTGTGAAGTCCTCTTTTTTTTTTCATTTTACAAAAAGTGCAGTTTTCAATAGAAATTAAATTATTATTTAGAAAATAACCTTGTTACACTTCTTGGCTGTCAATCAGACAACCAGCCGTGTTACTTCCTGGTTTGGTTAGCTCAGTGGAGTTAAACTCAAAATGCAGCAATTGCCCAGAGCACCTGCCTTCCAAAGACTTTCTACTTAGCTGCATTGGGAAGTCTGTGATTGGACAGCACAGAATGTCTTGGCGGGGTTGCAAGGGGATGGCTGCAAAGACTTCAGACAAAAGATCTGCAGATTTTGTAAGCTGTTTTTAGATATACGCCCAATTAAATAAATGCATTATAAAATGCATACATGTTTTTTATTAGCAACATGTCTACTAAAAAGAGATTTTTTTGTGTTTTTTGGGGGGCATTCTGCATACCATGTGCTAGCACCTCTCCAAGAAAATGCATTATTTTAAAATATACATTTTTAACATTGTTACTATGTGTTTTAGTTAGTAAATAAATAATATTTTTCAGTATGAAATAATTTGCATACTGATCTACATAGTGATCCTAGAACGTGGAAGGTGACAGGAAAACTTAAACATTATATTTTATGGATATGTTTTTATTTTGAACAAAATCCCTCTCTGAAATGTTTTTTTTTTTTTTTTGCTACCCAATGCAATTGATTTGCAATGAGAATACATTCAGAACAATATATGTAGATCAGAAGACCATGGATGGAAATAATATAATATAATTTTACTAAAAAAACATGGGGAGACATGCTTGCTACAAAGAGAACGACATAAATAGTATTTGAGATTGATAACTCAGTTGCAAGGTCAGCAAATAGTAACAGAAATGATAGTAATAGATACATGTAAATCAGTTGTGTACCTACCACGGTCGCAGGGGTCACAGCTGTGACCCGGCCTATCACTCCACGGGACCCAGCTGCCCGGTCCGACCCTTGCTGATTTAAAGCATCACACTGGCCCGTACACTAAGGAGGCCCATTGGGTGGCCCATGCACTTAGGAATACCTGATGGACATTTGTCAGCAAGGGACCGGTCGGGC